ATCTCTAGAAGGGCCAGGGAGTTAGCTCAGTGGTGACATGCCTGCCTTGCAAGCTCAAGGTCCAGAGTTCGATCCCCGATACTGGAAAGAAAAAAAAAAAAGGATCTCTAGAGCATCTCCTAAAACTTCATCTTCAGAGAGCAGTCAGAACCCTAGAGAGGGGCATCTCTCAGTGAACACCCACCAGTCTCCACGTTCACACCCAGGCCCACGTCACATTGGCACCATCTGCCAGCAAATGCAGGAGGGCTGACTGTCCCCAACAAAGCTGCCAATGGACTGTCAGCTGGCAGGACAGCAAGCCCTGCTAGATCCCAGATCACAGACCGACAAAATGCCAACTTTCTGACAGTTCTTTCCCCTCTCTAAGCTGCCTCAAGCTATTTTCCTACCAACTGGCCCTCAGCCACCCCACACCCCAACTGACCCGGAGCCAAGGAAGTTGTTCACCAAACTTCCCTCCTCACACCAGCTTAGACACAGCAAGAGCAAAATAAATACTGTTTCTGATAAACCAATCATCCAATTGGTGCACTGATGAATGGCTCAGTGAACAACACGGGAATGAACCAATCAGTAAAGGACAATTCTGTGGTATGGGAGGCAGCTGAGGCAGTCAGCCAGCATGGTTACCACAAGAGTCTCAAGGGGCCCAGAGCCGGAAGGCTCAGCTCAAGTTGTCAGCAAGGAAGCACTCAGTGGACCACCACAGCTCAAATTCTGGAAGCATGGAGCAGGCCCAGGCAAGTGGCATTTCACTGAGGGGCTCTGTGAAGCCCTCTACTTGCTCTGCCCTCAGCCCTCTACAGTCAGCTCCCAAAAGATGCATTTGCTGCTGAGATACTTGACCATTAGTGTTATAATAAATGGGAAAAGGTAGCATCGGGAGGCCTGGAAAACTGAGGCCTCCTCAAAAGTGACAGACCCCACCAAGTAAGCACTCATGTCTCAGTGGCTCATCAACATTCAACTCACCACAACTGCATGTGGAAACTGAGAGCTTCAGTGGCTCACCAAGGCCCACAGCTCAACGAGTAATATCAAGGTCTGCAGCTTGTCACTGTGTGGCATGGTTCCCACCCTTAACAAGGACAGCTTACTGAGGTAGCTTTTAAGTCCTTCAAAAATATCTCTAAAAATGGTGCCGGGAGGCACACTTATGTAAACATGCAGCTATTCTTTGCAGAGGGTGAGGAACAGTGTCCCTCTAGCTCTTTTCGATGTGACCAGGCCACGTTCACAGGTCAAAGGCATCCACAGGAGGCTTGCTCATGGCCACTTTTTTAGTTCTTTACCCCCTGGAAGGGAGTCTGAAAGAGGAGCAGGACAGTCTGAAGTTTGACTAGAGCTCAGAGAGCAGAGCTGAGATAGTTCTGAAAGACCAACCAGCCTAATCTCCTTGTCTGGGTAGAAAAACAGGCCAGAAAGGAAAAGCAATCTTTCTGACACCCTGGAGGCAGCAGCTTGCAGCAGTGTTGAGAAAAATCTAAGACTGGGCAAGAAAGGAGGGCATGACTGAAAGCTGACATGGGAGCCATAGCCTGGCAGGGGAGAGGGATGGTATCTCCATTCCAGCCTAGGCTGGCCTCAGCCTCCACCCAATCATGGGAACTTGGTGTAAATTGGGGAAAGGTGCCCCTTTCAAGCAGCACATGGATTGACAAGCAGCAGTGGGGGTTGATATCCAACCTCACCCTCACAGGGTGCTACCGTACAGGAGACAACTTGCCCAACTGTGCAAGGCAGTTCAGAGTGTGGGAGCCACACAAGAGTCCTTCAACTTTTCTTCAGTCTCTCCCACTGTTAATTTGCCATCTGGTAGCTTTTAAAAATACATCCTTGATATCAAAGCAGGTCACAAGCCATTGTTCCCTCTTCCATATAAGGAAATCAGATTTCAAAAGAGGGAAGGCATGCTAAAAAGTCAGCATGTAATGATAAAGATAACCCTTTATTTGTGGTCCATGATCTTGGGAAAGTGCCTTATCCATCTTTGCCTTCATAAACAGTATGTGTTTCTAAGGACGTAGAGAGGAAGGGAGGAGAATTATACCAAGCAGGCTCCAGGTTTTCCCTATTCTCCCAGGCTCAGAAACTTTCACAAGGCAGATCAAAAAGCTCACAGTTGGGTCTGGTTGTGTGTTCTTTCCAGGTGCACACAGATAACCACCCTCACCAGGAATGCTTCACATTCAGGAACCCCAAGCACAGTAATGGACACCCAGCACCCCAAACCAGAAAGGACCCGGAAAGACCCCTGGATCCTTCCTTCACCTCACTCTAGAGGCTACCAAACATGTAGAGTCCCAGTCCCACACATCCCTCATCTCCTCCTGCTGGTCCCCACTACTACCATGTTAGTTCAAATCATTTTCCAAGTTGACGTCTCTCCTCTTAACTTACTCCTCCCTCTACATGCTGCTTTCTGCAGGGTCTTTGAAAACCTCCCACAGGATCAGAATCAGCCCACCCTCCATCACACCTGCCTCAACTTGGCCCTATCCATCCACCCCTACCACACACATCAGCCAGCCCAAGGACACAGTGCTCCCTCAGAGTGGCCAGCCCATGCCTCCATGCTGTGCTCACAGCCTCCCTTGGCCTAGAATGCCCTGCACAGCACCACTGCCTCAGTCTAAAAGGTGACCCCAGCCCTGGCCCTCCTGATTGGCCTGCCAAGACTGGAAATCCCAAACTGAGGCCAAGCCCTTTCAAAGACCCTGTCAAGAGGTGGGAGTCTATAGTCTGGGGATAATGTGATATAGGAATCAGATACGGTATCCTTCACCAGGCTTTTGACACCACCACCACTGGACCTGAGGACCCTATTCAGGCTCCTGTCTCCGACTTCCCTCAGCCCTCTATGGCAATTGCCAATTATGCATCTGTCTCTCACCTGAGACTGGCCTCTTGGTAGAAAGACACTATCACCTTCCTGTGTGTCTTCCCACACAAGGTCAGACCTGGGGTATGGACTATGGGGTGAGGCACCCAAGGAGTGTCTTGTGTTTAAGCTGAGCTCCTGCTGGCTATGTCTGTGTTGCTCCTAGGGTCCCTTGCCCCAACAGAAGCCAGACCTGTCTCTGTGTGTACATGTGAATACCAGTGCCCCTATAAGATTCTTGGTCCAGTTTCAAAAACATTGCTTCTTTCAAACAGCTAAGTGCCTGAAGGCATCCATAATACAGGAAAGGGAGAAAAACATGGGCCCACCCTCATCGACTGAAGCCACAACAGGTCACAACATAGATCTGACAGGTGACCTGGGCTCCCTCAGCATTGAGTAAGGGCTAAGGACAAGTCAGGTCTGCTCTCTGGGCCCATACCTTTCAGTATGACAAACCACACAGAACCACCAGAATGAATGAGATCCCTTCGGATGAAATTTCTTTTGTGCTTAAATTGAAATGTTTCAGGGGAGGGGGGCTGTCCCATGACAGCTGCCCCAGCAAAGTGATCGCTACAATTTTTCATTGTGCAACCTTACCACTCTTTGGCCCCCTCATTCCTAATATAAATAACCCTATTTACAAAGCTCTACTGTCAAGCCATATATTAAATATCAGTAAGTATTATGGGCTGAGTTGTGTCTCCTTCAAATTCATATGTTTTGACCTCCAGGACTTCAGTATATGGCTTTATTTGGAGATAGTCTTTGAAGATGTAATTAAGTTAAAATAAGGCCATTCGAATAGACCTTAGTCCAGTATGACTGTTGTACTTATAAGAGGAAAAGTGGACAGATATTCAGAGGGAGAATGATGGGAAGACACAGAGAGAAGGAGTAGAGAGACCTCAGAAGAAAGGAACCTGCAGACACTTTGATCTTGGATTAACTGCCTCCAGAATGAGGGGTAATACATTTCTGTTGTTTAAGTCATCCAGTCTATACTTTGTTTTTTGTTTGTTTGTTTTGGTTTTTTGGTTTTTTTGGTACCGGGGATCGAACTCCAGTCCTTGCGCTTTCGCAGCAGGCAGCGAAACCACTGAGCTAAATCCCCGGCTCTATACTTTGTTTTGACAGCCCTACCAAACTAAATTCAGAAAGGCTTAGTTTCTCTCTTTTAAGTTAAACATAAATAGCCTTTATCGCTCCACTTCGGAGGCCATTATGACAGGCAGGTGTGATGAACCTATGGCCCAGTGGATTTTAGAGTACAGGCCACACACAGCGAGAGGACATGAGGGGTCTGGGGGCCTCTGGGATCTTCCCCTGTGAGCAGGAGCGCACTGGGAAAGCCCTGAGAAAGTGTTCCCCCAGCACAGAGGGGCAAGTTTGTCACAAGCCAGTCCCTGAAACCCGAAACCCTCCTTTTGCCAGCCTTCGCCAAACTCTCCTGATTTTAAGAATCACCCAGGGTGCCTCGGTCCCACTCCTGGGAGTTGTGTGGTGGGCTCAGACCTTGCTTTTAAGTGAGCCAGGCGATGCTCAGGACCAGGAGCATTTGAAGAAACCGTCGTCCGGCCCTGCCCTTGACACCAAGAGGTGAGTTTGTGGTTGGAATGTGAGGCTCCTGCCCGCGCATCCCCACCGCGCGCAGCTGCGTCCCCTTTGCCACCCACTCTGCCCAGCCCCGCCCCCACCCCGCCCTCAGCCGACGGCAACCAGAGCCCGCTGTTTCGGCCTTGCTGTGTTTATCCATTTCTATTTTGTGCCCTGCGTTCATCTTCTGAATCTACAGGCAGTGAAATAAGTTCCTTCCGTTTCCCTCACAAGTAACTTTGTGGAGTCCCTGGCGTCCTTGTTTTTCTCCTGGGTGTGGCCCGCCTATGACTTCACTCGGGCTCTGGGCCTTAAGTGAGACCCAGGATCTCCGCTCCCATTGCTGCGACAAGGGGAGGGTCACCGCCCTAGAGCCCGCGCGCCAGGCGGGAAACAGGTGTGCGGTCGCGAAGCTCCCGCCTCCCTCGATCTGAGCGCCCCGGCTTCCCAGCGCACCGCAGGTTCTTCCGAACCGCGATCCGCACCGCCCCCCGCGACCCCGCCGGGCTCCGCTCACCCAGGCCGGCAGGTGCTGGCCCCGCAGCTCGCGGCTGATGAACTGGCGCTCGTTGTTGAGGAACTCGAAAGCGGCCTCCAGGCGCCCGAGCTTCCCTCGGCGGTTCCGGCGCCACCACATCCAAAGCAGGACGCCGAGCAGCACCCAGAGTATGCTGAGCCCCAGGTAGCCGGCCAGGTAGACGGGCGCCAGGTAGAACAGCACGCGTACCACGAAGGTATAGAGTTCCGGCAGTAGCTGGCTAGTCAGGCGCAGCTCGGGGCCAGGCGAGCGCTGGGCTCCCCGTGCGACGGGGGTTCTGGGCGCACTAGGGAGGCAGGGCTCCTCCACAGACATCTCGTCACCGCCGTCTTGCCCTCTCCAAGAACTTCATCCGAGCTCAGACCTGCACGCCCCGACGACACCTGGGCACATCTGTCCTCCAAGCTCGAGGACCGGACTGCCGAGCCCCTCCGGCCCTGCCAGGGCTCACTAGCCCCTCTTCGCGTGCAGAGCTCGGCGCGCGTGAAAACTGTGAGTGGGGCGGGGCCCGCAGCTGGGAGTGGGGAAGTCCGGAAGTCTCCGCCCAAGAGGGCCCGACCAGGTGAAAGGGGAGGGGCTAGGCAGCCAAGGACTGGGCGGCTTCAGTGTTCTGGAACTCCAGAGTCCCGCCTATCAGCAGCAGGAGTGCAGTAGCCACTTGGAGTGAACTAAGTGCTGCCCCAGGCAGTTTATGACACACCGAGGCCTGTGTATGATGGAAAAACATCACCGAAATCCTGTTTCCTACACCCAATCGAGTCTGGACTTCTAGCAGAGCATTTGAGGCCCTCCGCTCACCTGCCGGGCCTTCCATCGTGGACCTGTCCTTGCATCTAGGCGCACCAGGTGCCCCTCAGAGCCTGCAACACTACTCGTTTTGGCATCTATAAAGCCTGAACTTAGCCCCTAACATAGGCAAGCTGAGCTCAGGGCCCCCCGTAGGCACCCAATACTATCTGCCCCACTCTCCCCGCCCTCTCTGGGGGGGGCATTAATTTGGGTGTTCATTTTCTGCTTCATCAGACAGGGTGCTTCCTAGGTCCAGCCGGCCCTGCTCCTCTGTGGGTCTCCGGTAAGGGCAAGTGACCTGTGAATGAGCCACAAGCTTATGAGGTGCTTGGGAGTCCAGTGAAGCCCAAGAAGTCTGTCTAACTCTAGTGAGTGCTCAGAGCAAGTGGAGCTCTGAATCTCTAAGTTCAGCTATGTATTAGTCACTTTCCTACCATTGGGACAAAACACACAACACCCACAAGAATACACCTTTCAAGTCACATTCCCCAATCCGGTACCACCTCAGATCAGGATATTCATCAATGAAGTTATCAATGGATCAAGCCATTGATAAGTATAGCATCCCTAGGATCCAATCTCCTTCCAAAAGCCCCATCTCTGAACACATGAGACTTTTAGGGAACATTTTAGATCTAAAACATAACAAGATAGTAATTCATCTTGTGGATGGCACACAATGTAGGTAGCTCATATGAGAGGTCACATCAATTACCAGAATGTGCTTTGGAGCCAGCAGGTGTACTGCATGATTTGGAGTGATTTTATACTCTTTCAACAGTTTTATTGAAAGGCTGGGCCCCATGGAAAGCAATCAAATGATAACTGTATTCTCTTTCTGTCTGCCCCTCAGGTCTCTCTCATTCTCTCTCCTGGATAAAACTGTTTGCTACAATTAGAATTCTCAATAACTGAGTAGTCCTGGCAGTCAGAATACCTCCATTCTCAACTGTTCTTGGCCTTCCAGGACTCAGCCAAAAGAGTTTGAAAATTTCCCAATTTAACATCCTGTGATGCTGGCCTGAGAAATCAATGTAAGAATTGCTGCTCAACTGAGTTCCTTTTTAGAGCATACAAATCCTGTTAAAGCCTCTGAAAAATCTTGAAGATAAAAGCTCTAGTTAAACAGTATTTACCCTAGCTCTTGTTACCTTTGCTGCCTGTGTGCCCCATGTTGTTTCTGCTCTGCCATATCTGTTTGTCATCCCTGCCTTGGAGTTGGCTGATTATGGACTCTATGAACTCCAATTTGGTTTGCAACCAAAATTCTGGAAAAAATTAAGTCCGTGAACCAATGTACTACCGTAATTATCAAGTTACCAAAACCTTAACTTTCCCACAGCAGACCGAAGCAGTGGTAGTAGCGCTTGAGCTCATCCAGCACCCTCTGTCTCAGTGACTTATTTACTGCCACCGGAGCCACTGGGCTCTACACTCTCCTCCAGCTTTTTGTTCTTGACCTTCAGGGACTGGTGTCATTGCTGAGAGGGGCCAATGAATCCCAGCCATGCACCAGAAGGTACCCCCCCCCTCGACGAACACACCTGCTGCAGCAGGAGACCATGTCGTTCCTGCCACCACACACAGGTGCTCAGATACCCTTAGTGGGTATCTAAAGTAAAATGTGTGAGGATATAGTTCACTGAGGAGATGTAGAGTACAAGCTCCAGTAATGCAAAAGTGAAAAACTAACAGATAGATGATAAATAGATAAAAATATTCATGGATATTTAGATAAAAATAACAAAATAAGTGGCCACTGATTTATCATGAAGAAAAAATGGCTGTCACAGGTGGAGACAGGGGGAGAGTCCCCACAGTCCCAGGCCTGACTCCTGATGACACAGAAGGCTGTGGAAGAATCACATAGAGACCAAAAGCTTAGAAGCAAAGTTGTTCTTTTATTCAGCAAGAATGCAAGCGTACAGCTGCCTTCTCACAGAGAGACAGGCAGGGGTGCCCGAAATGGAGCCACCATTGCAGGGGGGCTCAAAATGCTGGTTTTCTAGTAGGTGGGGCCTATCCTGCCTCTGGGTTGAGGGCACCCCTACTTGTTTGGTTATGATTAACTTAGCTTATTACTAGGGACAACAGGGAAGGGTCTTTTCAGGGGCCCTTTACATCTTAGGGCCAAGATTCTTTTTTCTTTTGATCTTAGCAAACCAAGCTTTGCAGGGTACAGCATGAAGAGGAGGTACAACCTCAGCAGACTGTCAGCTTTTTATGGGTGGTTAAGCCTGTTCTGCCAGCTATCTGAACTCCTTTGGGGAGGGGCTCATCTCTCCCTAGGGGAGAGGGGGCCTAGGGGTCTCTATCCCTACAGGGCTATAGGCTTTTCTATTACATGGTGACTCTGGTCATGGTACCCCCAAGACATGAGCTCACTTCCTTGGCAACATCTCCAAACAGAACTTGGAACCTTTGTTAATGGGTGTCACAATCTAGTAACAGCCATCTCCCAAGCTCACTTGGCCGGAGACAGTCAACAGGTAACATGCTGAGCTGCTTCTCCACTTCTAGAGGCTGTAGCCTTAGGACCCCAGGTAGAGAAAGTATCTGTGAAAGATTGAGAAGATGGCTTACTCCATCCAGATGCTGCACAACTGTCACAGACACCCCAGGGATGGTCCCCCCGGGAGTGACCACCAGTGACCTACCAAAATCAAGGTACCCCAGGGAAGTCTCCCTAAGCCCAAATACCAACAGCACAGAAACTGGGAAGAGCGGGGGACAAGTATCAACAGGCCCAGAAACACCCAGTAGCTCTGGGCAGGTCTCCCCAGAGCTGGGCACAGAAAACCTAGAGAGTCAAAGTCCAGGGGGGTGGAGACCAAAGTCACAGCCACCGGCCCCCAAGAGACACTGAGAAGCCTGGTGTACATCCATCCAGGCCTGGCCGCCACTACTAGAAACAACTTCACAGAGAGCCTTGCAGAATCCCAGCCAGTGTGGTCCCTGCAGGCAGTCAGGTCACTCTCCTTCTCTAAGCCCTGCCTGCCTGTTTCCCTGGGCAGCCAACCCATCTATGGTCCCTTCTTCCCGGGCACCTCCACCACCCACACCTCTACTCGACTGACCCTGATTTGGGGAGGAGACATCATGACAAGGTCTCTTGAGAATTCTGTCTCCTTTGAGGGCCTGTGTGATAAAGATTGAGATGTGTGGTGTTTGGACAATAAACAGCTTTTCACCACACACTGGGTAGAGGAGGAAGGAGACCTGTATACTGCGTCACATCAGTTGGAGTTAGAAGAGGCCATCAGGCTTTCTGAGCTAAAGGAAGATTCTGAGTTCTTAATTCATTCATCGCCCTGTATACCAGAACATCCTAAAGTGTCTGTCCAGGAGAAGAGAAATCCATCCACCACAGAGCTGCAGGCTGCTGGGGAAAGCTGTATTATGTGAATGGCCACACTGTCCAGGCCAAACGCTTCAGCAGGCGAGCTCGCTGTGCTGTCTGCACAGACCGAGTAGGGGGACTTGGCCACCAGGTGTATAAGTGCACCAACTGTAAACTCTTGGTTCACAAGAAGTGCCACAAACCTGTCATAATTGAATGTGGGCAGCATTCTTTACCATCAGAGAACATGGTGCCAGTCGATCCATCCTCCATGGCTTCAGACCCTGCACACATAGCAATCCCACATAACCTTTCAACTCATGAGGCTTTAGAGAAAGTTGATGAAGAGAATGAGCCAGGGAACACCAGGCAAAGTGGCAAAGCTTCATCTGGTTTAGGTCTTGAGGACTTTGATTTGCTCCAAGTGATTGGCAGAGGAAGTTATGGGAAAGTACTGTTAGTCCAACTGAAAAAAATCAAACCATATGTATGCAATGAAAGCAGGGAAAAAAGAGAATGTCAACTTTGATCAGGTACAGAGAGAGAAGCGCATTCTACAGTGGGCATCTAACTGTCCTTTTCTAGTTGCACTGCATGCTTGGTTCCAGACAGAAAGTAGACTGTTCCTTGTTCTAGACTATGTCAATGGGGGCAATCTACTGTTTCATGTGCATCAACAAAGAATGCTTCCTGAAGAACATGTCAGATTTTATTCTGCAGAAATCAATTTAGCAGTCAACTATCTTCATCAGCAAGGAATACTTTAAAGAAATTTAAAATTGGAAAATGTATTACTGGACTCAGAAGGGCATATTAAACTCACCAATTATTGCTTGTGTAAGGAAGGCTTATAGCCAGGAGATACAACCAGCATTTTCTGTGGCACTCCTAATTTCATGGCTCCAGAAATTATAAGAGGGGAAGATTACAGTTTCAGGGTGGACTGGTGGAATCTTGGAGTACTGATGTATGTGATGATGATCAGAGAGTCTCCATTCCATCTTGATGAAAGCTCTGATAACCCTTATGAAAACTTAATCAAGTATGTCTTGCAAGTAATTTTGGAAAGAGACATTTTCATACCTCATTGTCTGTACAAGCTGCAAGTGTCCTAGAGAGTTTTCTGAACAGGGACCTAAAAGAATGACTGGGCTGTCATCCTCACAAGGGCTGTGCTGATGTTCAGGAGCATCCATTCTTTCAAAATGTGGACTGGGACATGATGGAGCGAAAGCAGGTGGTGCCTCCCTTTAAACCAAACATCTCTGAGGGATTCAGTTTGGATAACTTTGATCCTGAATTTACTAATGAACCTGTCCAGCTCACCGCAGATGATAATGACATCGTGAGCAAACTTGATGGATATGAATTTGCAGGTTTTGAGTATATCAATCGTCTTACTCTATATAAAGAAGATGGGGTCTGATCCTCATTTTTCAACTATGCATTTTGCTTATGTTACCATTTAATGCTTGGAAAAACTTGTTACCAGACTGGATAGAATTAACCATTTTAGAATTGTCTGGAAGCTAATTTTAATTTATTGTTTTGAAGTTATATTTAAATGTAATACTTGATCCTTATAGTCTATAGTAGAGAATGTGGAATTTTTTCTTCATAGATTAGATTTTTATGAACTGATTTAAATAACAATGAGGCAATCACTTGTTAGCCACATTTGTATATACATTCCATTTGTTGAGTGGGACATAATGCCTAATATTTTTTCTTTTTACTTATGATACAAGAAAACAATTTGTCTTTTCAGTAAAATATCTTACCTATGCTAGTTTCTGTCCAACCACATTACCTGTACCTTTTGGGCTCAGTTTATGTAGTCTTCAGGAAAATCCAAAAAATAGCAATAATTTTAAATAAAAACACATATACTTGTATCTTTTTTATATGAAGAAAATACAATACATGACTGCAGGCTTTGGAGGGGTAGTAGTTCTCATGAAATGGGGCATCTGGAAGTGGTTGAAGGATAGTTTCTTAAATGTTTACAAATTTTGAATCATTCTGAATTTGAGACTGGATTATTAACTAAAATTAGGAGGCTATATATATATATATATATATCTCATCCTTCTGTTTTAGTACCATTTTTATGCCAAGGATTTGAAAGGTAACCATCATCATCTAAATGTAAATAAGTTATAATGGTACAATCTTAGTTTAATTTAATTTTAGTTAATGATCTGGTTTTGAATTTAGAACAGTTTGGAATTTGTAAACATTTGATAAATTATCTTTTGATCTTTTTCAGATGCCCCATTTCATGAGAAATATTGCTTTTCCAGGGATTATAGGCATGTATTGTCTTTTCTTCATATAACTTAATTTGAAACTAATGAAAACATCAAAGGAAAATGTTTATAGACATTCACATGTTCATTTCTGAGGAATGTATGTTTCTTTTAATGCCTGGAACTTGAAAACAAAAAGCAGTATTCACAACATAAACTTATAGAGAATTCTAACATGTAAGAAATATGTTTATGATCTTGCTTTTAAGTGTTGCTCTTTTCCGTAGGGCATTTCAGAATGTAGAATAACCACCCAGGGTGTTTGTTTACCATGTTTATCACTGACCCCACATTAGACTTCTTTTGGGCTTTTGAACCTCATTTTGAGAAATACTTTCTTCAAGATATTCTTTTGTCCTCCAGTAAAATGGTAGAAAGTGTGTTCATGGTATAATATTTTAAGATGTTACAAGCAGAAATTTACAACTTTATGAACATTTCTGAACAAATTTTACCTGAATGACTTCATTAGATACCTTCCTTGTTCCCCTCAACAAAATCTTATCAGTTTTCTGCCAATGATATCCAAATGATGAGCATTTTTCTTTGATGAGGTTTTCACCATTAT